CTAGTCCGGAAAGACGTGCAATGTGTTAAAGGCTCGTAATGCGACGCTGAATGTAGGAACGCTGACTGGACGCTCGTATGAAGTAGCAGAAGCCCTAGAGCGTAGAAAGATCGACCTCTGTGCCGTGCAAGAGACTAGATGGGAAGTCGAAAGAACTAAGCCGCTGCTTCAAAGCCGCTCTTTGTGGCGGGCCGAAAACTACAAATGGTGTGGCCGTGATCTTTCTCAGCGATTTCGCGTACTATCGAATGTGTGAGCGTATAGTTCTTCTCTCAGACCGAGACAGGCAGAACGATGCGGTCCTGAAAGAATAAAGTGGTGGCGACTGAAGAGCGGGAGGCAGCTGTGATTTCTCGTATTCGACTACCTGAAGTCACAACTGTTCAGGAGACCTGGAACGAAGCCGTTAATTCTATAATCCAGGCCGCCCGCTCCGAACTCGGCACAACGAAGCCTGGACGGCGGAGGATTGACAAAGAGGCATGGCTCTGGACGGACGACGTCAAAGCGAAGGTTCGAGAAAAGAAGAGGCTCTATCACGCGTTTCTCGAGCACAAGTCGGCTGACAACTGGCGGCAGTATCGGGAAGCGAGGAAGCGGCAAAGACGGCCGTGGCTGCTGTGAAGGCCGCTCACTTCGATGATATCAGCAAGAAGCTGGAGACGCGCGACGTGAGCGGTACCTGTACGGACTTGCCAAATCTCGTCATCGCCAAACCGAAGACATTGAGAAGTTTTTTGGCATAAGTGATGAGAATGGCCACCTTCTGATGGACCGAAAAAGGGTATTGCAACGATGGCGTGAATACTTCGAGGGCATCTCAATGGAATTCGCCCATCCCGCTATACCCTGTACCGCACCAACATATGGTCCCGTTCAGAAGATCACCGTACAGGAAACAGAAGCTGCTCTGAGGAAGATGAAGGCCGGCAAAGCAACAGGCCCCGACGACATCGCAGCTGATTTGTGGAAGTCACAACGCTGGTTTTCTGCGGGTTGGTTGACGAAACTCTTCAACCAGATCGTCGAAGAGAAGAAGGTGCCCAAGGACTGGCAGCAGAGCGTGACGATCCCGATTTGGAAGAAGAAGGGCAGCCCGGCAGATTGCTCGAACTACCGTCCAATTCGCCTTCTCTCGCACACTATGAAAATCTTTGAGCGAATTGTTGACGCCCGCGTTCGTGATATCGTCCAGCTTTCCACCAACAGTGTGGCTTCGTGGCGGGTTGTAGCACCGTCGACGCCATACATGCCGCTCGCCTATTGCTGGAGAAACACCGTGAGAAGCGAAAGCCCGTGCATGTAGCTTTCTTAGACCTGGAGAAGGCATTCGATCGTGTGCCGCGTGATGTTATATGGTACGCTTTGAGGCGGCACGGCGTGCCCGAAGAGCTAATTGAGTGGGTGCGCATCCTTTACTCATGCCCAGGGAGCCAAGTTCGCTCACCAGCGGGTGTCTCAATGGAGTTCCCCATCACCGTCGGGGTACATCAAGGCTCTGCGCTCTCCCCACTTCTTTTCGTTGCCGTCATGGATGCCATCTCACGAGATCTTCAGAAGGAAGTGCCTTGGACCCTGCTTTACGCTGATGATGTGATGCTTGCTTGTGAAGATAAGAGCGCACTGGAACAGCAGGTGCAAGCTTGGGCCGAGCGTCTGGCGAAGTTTGGACTCAGGTTGAACGTCAACAAGACCGAGTACCTGACAACCGACCCAAATGAGCCGGGCTCCATTAAGATCGATGACACGGTGCTCAAGCGCACGGAAACATTCAAGTATCTCGGATCAGCACTTGCGTCCGATAGGCAGTCTGAACTCGGAAGTGAGCGCACGAGTGAGTGCGGCATGGTCTAAATGGCGATCCATGTCTGGGATCCTTTGCGACAAGAAAATGCCAGAGCGTTTCAAGTCAAAGATCTATCGTACTGTCGTCCGACCTGTCGCGTTATATGGTGCCGAGTGCTGGCCCGCGACCAAAGAAGTTGAGGCTCGCCTTGGTGTGATGGAGATGAAGATGTTGCGCTGGACGGCGGGCGTCACGCGATCGGACCGCATCTGTAACGATGCCGTGCGCAAGAAGTATGGTGTAGCCCCCATAGCAGAGAATATGCATGAAACACGCCTTTGATGGTACGGGCAGTACTTCGCGCGAAGGCTGACACCGTCCGTAAAACTGCTCTCAGAATTCGAGGTACCAGGAAAGCGGCCAAAGGGCGTCCCAAACAGCGCTGGCTCGACACGCTGCATACCGACTTGAAAATAGCCGGCATTCACCCCGATCAGGCATTCAATCGGGAAAAGTGGCGTAGTTATATCAAAAGAGCGGACCCCGCCATCGAGCGGGACAAACGCTGAAGAAGAAGAAGAAGCTACTTCCCATCCTTTCAATCCATCTAGAGAACTGCTTCTTGAGTGTACAAGAGTTGACAGGCTTTACCAAGATGGCTCGACGAAGCTGCTCCAGCTTCACAAGTGTTCACGGGTTCCACCAGAGTGAGATCTGCAAACCGGAACCAGTGAAGCATGAAAAACCCCTCCCGTCGCCGAAATGCGGCACGTGCGCCACCTCTTCCTCCCTTCTAGGGTGATAAATAGGGTGATAAGAGTATGGGTGTACCTGCGGTGCCGTTCTCTGGCTTCGCTCATGCAGCAAACTCGAACATTGTCTTCGGAAACGCTTAGAATATTTTGCTTTAAAGGTTTAAGAGCAACCAACCGCTTGTAATTCGGATGTGAGCCATAATGTCGAACAATATGCATTCTTCTTCACCAAGGTTTTTTACCTGAAAAAACATGAAACAATATTGAACAAGAGAAAAAACAAGATTACATACATCATTTTCTGTACGTTCAAACCATGCGATATTACAAGACCTTTCAGCGCTGTTTGTGGACAGTATTAGTCCGAACACAGTCTCTGAACATAATATTTCAGGCGATTAAACTGCTTGCGAAGAATCTCGATCACATACCAACATTTTTCGCATCTTTGCGTGCTACAATGACACCTGGTAAGTGGTCCTGTTGATCAAGGTCAGGATCGTGTGGAATCAGCAGATAACCAGGAATCTTCTCTTCAATTGTACCATTCATCCACTGCACATCCACTAGTGAATATGACTTCAAAACCTAAAAAAAACTTTTATGGGAAGGCATTCAGACCACAGCGTCAAGCTAGAGATGGGCTTCAACAAAAATTAAGGTGAAGAGAAAAGAAAATAATCGAGGCGAACCTCCCCAACAAACTGATTTCCAAGTATATCTTTTGCCAAACGAGAGGATTCCAAAGGAAAGGCGGGTGTGCACCTCCTGCGTCGAGCTGGACACTTACGCCTGGAATTAAGCATTTCGCATTACCGTGGTGTGTCAGAATTGGAAGAAATTTTCTCACATGCGTTTCTGTCGAACAACACTTCGGCATACGGCCACCCTTGATCTACCACATTTCGAAGGGGTTTCATCCTCATCGCTACTTTCTTCGGATGACTCCCAGATTTCTTCGCCATTGGTAACTTCTTCCTTCGACTCCTACATGAAAAAGCGCCACTTTCGGCTATTGAAGGTGTACAAATTCAGAAACACTAACCATGTTTTCACATTCGGCCACGTTGTGGGCTGAGACAGAATCGCCTTCTTTACCCTGTTGTGGAGTAGTATCATCACACAAACGGGCAATTTTCGCAGCCTGGATTAAATGGTGAAGGGGCCATTCCCATAAAAGCGCTCCCCAGTTTTATTGTCAAAAGTATATCGATTAACAACTCTCACGCGCTAACTTCAACTGCTGGCTACGGTTTGAGTACTACTTTACCGGCGCGCTCCTGCCAACTCTTCTAAATTCGCAACTGGCTGTACCCCACAGGCCACCCGTGCACTCTTGCCCAGAATCGAAACACTGAGTAGTTGGGAATGGTCCTCCCTTGTCTGAAAAACTTAAGTTCAAAGTAGATTTGCTTTTATTCCAAACAGGGCACGTCTTACGTTGGTCAATTTCCAGCGGGAGGTCGTAATTGGTCGCTGGAATTAGAAGGGTCATAACTAGTCTGAGAAAATTTTTTGTGATAGTTGATTTCTGGGCGCTATTCATCACATCGTGGGAGAAATTCAATGGGGGTGTCTCGTGAGAGGACGAAATTAGGGGAGAGAGGTCGTATTTCCGAAAACTTCCCCCAGCGGCAGGATGCGCCCTGATTTCCATACAGTTCCAGGGAGTTTCTAGAGAAAAGGGTGCACGGTAAGCTAAAATTTCACTTAAAAAGTTCTCATTAATTGTGGCGTACTACCGATTGCGCCAACACAAGCGAGTCTGCAAAGCAGAAGGGAAGCAGTAGTCTACATGTCACTCATGCAGGCTACTGCTCCTCTTCTGCTTTGCAGACTCGCTCGTGGTGTTT